AACTTCTTAATGTAAAATGTCAGGTGAAATATTTTACCGGAGATCGCTAAGACATCGGAAGACCAGGAGAGATCAGAAGAGAGAATGAGTCCAAGATGCTTAATTTATGATTTAATTCCTATATCATTGTCGTCAATCTTACAACTGTCACGAGAATCGATGACTTCTGTTAACTGTATTTTGCATCTTAAGCCGAAATTAACAGTTTGACATTTAGAAGGATTCAGTTTAAGACCGTTAGACTCAGACCATTTACTGACTCCTGTCAGAAAGCTATTTACTTTGGTACAATCTAGCTGGGAGTTGACAGCCATTGAAACTGTTAAATCATTAGTGTACTTCACGAAGTTTATTTCACCAGAGTGAGACAAGTCATGTAAGAAGAAAACAGAAAAGGAAAGAGGACAGTGCCTTGAGGGACACCAGCTTCAGTAGGCAGTGAAGTGGAAAACTTCCCTTTATATACGGTGTACTGCTTTCTTTCTGAGAAATGGGAATGTAACCAGTTAACAGCCCAACATTCTGTTAGACTTGCAGCAAGTTTATTTAATAGGATGTCCCTAGGGACCGAGTTAACAGCAGATGTATAGTCTAGGAAGGCACAACGAACAAATTTAGTCCCCTTGTCTAGACTGGAAGCAATGTTATGATATAAGACGGCAGCTGCATCTAAAGTGCTTCTACTGTGCTTAAAGGCAAATTGTTTAGGGTCGTTAAAGGACTTAAGCGAAGGTACAAGACTATGTAAAGGTAATTTCTCCATAGTTTTCAAAAAAGGAGAGGTAATAGCAATGGGTCTAAATTTGACGCATGCTCCAGTAGGTACAACTTTAATGTCCTTCCAAACGGCAGGCACAGTATTACTTGAAAAAGATTTATTAAATAGATCAGTGAGAGGGTGACACAGAATATCAGAACATTTAGCAAAAATAATACTAGGTACATAATCTGGACCTAAGCTCTGGGAAGGGTTTAGAGACTTGAGGCATTTTTGAACATCATTTGTGTTAAAACCTGGAAATGGGCTATTACTGACACTAGTGATGCTGGGAAGCATGGTATTTGAGGGAGAATAAATAAAAGATTTTTTAACAGTACATTGATCAAAAGAATACGGAATATTGTTTATCTGCTTACCACCAGTGATTTCCTTAAATAGTTTCCACTGTGTGTGTCGGTGGCATGAGTGTTAGGACGCTCCCCGATCATGCACATGGTCCGAGGTTCGATCCCCGACCGACGAACTCCTTTACCTCACTCAGCCGGGAATAATGCTAGTAAAGAGGAAAGCTTGGGCATGAGGATAGCAACCCCATCCTGTAAAATAAAAACTGCTACAGAAACTTCAAGCCGCTAGCTTGAAGCCCTATGTTCCACTGGGGAACGTGAAAGAAAAAAAATTACATTCAACCTCTGCATTTCAGAAATGATTAAGAAGTTAGTTCTTTTTATACAACTTTTATCTTTCATTTTATATAGTTTTCCCTTCACTCGACGAAGCTTTTATGTTGAGGGGATGAGAAACGGTCAAATTTGACGAATAGTGTCTCTTTTGGACAGCAGATTTCAGATGAGATGTAACATTAGAGATAGTGTCATAAAGTGCATCATCATTAAACAGATCCCATTTTGTGTCACTGAGCATGTTTCTAAGATGATGTACGTTCTCATTTGAGTAACATCTGTGAACAACTTTCTTGGACAAGTTTGAGAAGGCTTTACTGTGTAACTTTAATTAAATTTTAGGTTAAATTCGCACAATACAGTGACAAGAATTGAAGAGCGGTGCTCTTTTACGAGCTTCGTACATTCAAGAATCATTTATAAATACTTAGATTACTAGCTCACCCGTTTTCTTGCCGGTCCCAAGCCCGGATAATGAGGGAGGGTTGGGGCGTGGTGCTAGCAACCCCACCCCCGTGAAACAACCAAATCGCTACAGAAACTTCAAAGAATAAATGTATTAAAAATTCTAAAAACATAAGCAATAGCCTTACTTTTCGCTGGAATCGGGGAAGTGAAATGACACAGGCTGGCGAAAGCCTTCGGGAAGCCAGTCAGCCGATGTGCCTCCTTTCAATGAAAGCAAAAGTAAGGATGGGTACCTGGAATGTTCGTACAATGTACGAAACTGGAAAGGCTTCCCAGATAGCTGCTGAAATGAGAAGGTACAGAATAGAAGTGTTGGGAATCTGCGAAAGCAGATGGAACGGAACTGGAAGGTGCCAACTACCTACTGGAGAGACAGTAATCTTTTCCGGCCACCCAGAGGACAACCATGAGCACACCGAGGGAGTGGCCATCATGATGTCACCAACAGCACCCAAATCTCTCATGCAGTGGGAACCAATCTCCTCCAGGATAATGACAGCCAGGTTCAACTCAAAAGGAAGGAAAGTTACAGTCATTCAATGTCAATGCTATGCGCCTACAAACGTCTCAGAACAAGAGAAGGAGGAGGCGTTCTACAGACAACTACAAGCAATAATGGACAACGTCCCGAATGGCGATATCAAAATCCTGATGGGCGACATGAATGGGAAGCTGGGCGGAGACAACACAGGAAGAGAACTCACCATGGGTCGTGAGGCCCTCGGCAAAATGAACGACAATGGTGAACTCTTCTCAGACTTCTGCGCCTTCAATGATTTGGTGATTGGTGGAAGTGTGTTCAAACACAAGGATATACACAAGACGACATGGATTTCACCAGATGGAAACACCAAAAACCAAATAGACTTCATCTCAAATTTCAAGAAAGTGGAGACGGAGCCTACTGGACACAAGGTCGAGGACAGGAGCAGATGTGGGTTCAGACCACTATCTAGTACAAGGGACTTTCAAGTTGAAACTAAAAGTCTCGAGGATAGCTGGGGATAGGCCACAATGCAAGTTCCACACTCAACTACTGAAGGACACAACCATAAAGGGCACTTTCACTGCAACTGTCAGAGCAAAGCAGGAAATACTACGCGACATCACTGAAGAATCATGCGTGGAAGAACAGTGGAAGTCTCTGAAGACGATTCTCAACGAAACGTATTCAACCGTTCTAGGAAGAAAGAAGAGACAAGAAAAGGAATGGCTCTCAAAGGACACTTGGAAATTAATAGAAGAGAGAAGAATGGTGAAAGGGAAAATGATTCAATGCAAGGACGGAGAAGACAAGGAGACTCTGTGCACAATCTACACAGCACTGGACAAAGAAGTGAAGAAGTGTGATAAGAAGGACAAAAGACGATTATACGACAATCTCGCCAATGAAGCTGAGAAGGCAGCAGGCAAAAAGGACCTCAGGACACTATATCCGATAACCAAGTCCCTATTCGGGAAGAGGTCAACACAAGCGAAACCTACAAAAGACAGCCAAGGGAACCCAATTACCATGGAAGAAAGACAGATTAAACAATGGGCGAATCACTTCAAAGGACTCTTGAACCGAACGTCACCTGCAACTCGTCCAGAAATACCAACAACAGAGCGCACACAACTGCAAGTTGACACCAATCCTTCAACGAAAGCTGAAGTTTTGAATGCAATCAAACTTCTGAAAGCTGGAAAGGCAGCTGGACCAGATGGAATACCCCCTGAAGCACTGAAAGCAGACCCAGAGACGACAGCAGACATGCTGACTCCATTGTTGCAAAAGGTCTGGAAGGAGGGAAACGTGCCTACTGACTGGAGGAAAGGTTACCGCGTGAAACTACCAAAGAAGGGAGACCTAGGACCCACTCTGCAAATACTGGCGAGGAATCATACTCCTGTCGACGCCAAGTAAAATCCTGAGTCCTATCATCCTGGAGAGAATAAAGGACACACCGGAGACAGAAATCCGGCCAGAACAAGCTGGATTCAGGAAAGTCAGGCAAATCATGTTCTGACCAAATTGCAACTCTACGAATCATCATCACAAAACAAAGCATGGAATGGCAATAAATCAAACCTCTATTTTAACTTTATACACTCTGAGAAGGCCTTCGACAGCGTAGCGTTGACCGCGAAGTAATTTGGAAACTATTCGAGTACTGCGGCGTACCCCAAATATTCATCAACCTTATTCAACAGCTGCACGACAACGTCACATG